CTTTCTTTCCTAAGGTGAACTCTTCAATCCTTCCCCTCTCCTACTCTCAATTCCATCTGGTTCTAGATCAAAGCCAGATTGTCCCATGGTGCACCTGGACAGAGGTGCAGATAATCCAGGGGACACTGTCCTTCCCACGTGTCAATGTCGTGCTGCTACCTCACACCTGGAACTGTACCAGGGGCTGGTATTTCTAGACTACTCATCTTACCAGCTGTGTGACCTTGGGTAAGTCACTTAAACTCTCTGAGCCCATTTCCTCCTCTGTAAATTGGAGCCTTACTAGTACCCACCTCGAGGGTCAGTAAGAGGATTACATGAGATGATACCTTTAAGCTGCCCATCAAGGTGCCTAATAATAGCAAGTGATTCTGAGTGTTGCTATCGGTCCTTCAAAGAAGTCAGGGAGAGGGCCAGGCTGGCCAAAGGATGAAAGGTCCCTTCTGAGGAATTGGGCTGTGTGCCCGCTCATCATAGGCTGGGGAACTGAGCTGCAGAGAGGGCCAGGAACCTACCCAAGGTCACACTGCATGCCAGGAGACTCTTAACTTGGGTCCTGCATCCCCCTCCTGACCACCCCTTCTCCCAACCCTGCTCCAACCCTCCAGGAGATGTTACTAGTGCAGAGGGAGGCAACTTCTGGCTAGTCTTTCTGACTTACCTCCCTGCAAAGCTCCAGAGACTTACAGTGGGAGCCTCCCAGGAGTTCTGGGCTTAGGGCATGCAGAGGCTTGAGGGGACAGCCTGGCCCACAGCACCACCTGGTGGTCATAGCTTCCATGCAGGTCATGGTCTCCAGGAGAGGAGGGGGGCACACCCCTAATTGTGGGTTCCTGGTTACAACGTCCATGAGCATCTCACTTTAGAGTTTACAAGGATCTTTCACATCCTTCCCATAGATCTAATTGGAAGGGAATAAGGAAGAGAATAGAGAGAAGAAAAAGCACAAAAGAAAAAAAAGGAAGGAATAGAAAAATAGAGTCAAGCTCACAGACATATGTTACGGAACAAATAAAAATACAGAAAAGCGAGGAAAGAAAGAAAATGGGGAGGAAAGAGATGAAAAGAGTCAAGAAAAAGTAAAAATAAAGAAAAATGAAAAATATAGAGAAAAAGAAAATATTCATGCTGAGCCCAGTCCAAGAGAGATGTAGGGGCCAGTACCCACCGTCCATACAGCCCCAGCCCCTGCCTTCAGGCTGGCTTGACCCACACGTGCACACCCAGGAGTCATCCTTTGGGTCTGAAACCCGTTAGGTAGGACCCGGCAGGACTAGAGCGCAGGAACCTCAGCCTCGGGGCACTACACGGTCCTTGGCGCCACCTGCTGGATAGTCTAGGCACCACGTTTATCCCCTGAAAGTATAACTTTGGGGCCCTGGAAACTCATGGTGCCCCAGCAAAGCAGCCAAGTGGGTATAAAAGTCCCCATTTCTTAAAGATGTAAACTGAGGCTGTGAAGGAGATGGTGACTTTCTGAGAGATGACCACTCAGCGAGTACAGAAGGCTGCAAGATCCCAGGGGTGTCTGACTTTGGCAGCCCTGAACAGTCCAACCCACCTGAACAAACCCAGGTGGCACCACAACATGGTTAGAGGCATGAGTTGTGGCCACAGATGATGATAGCTGTCACCTCTGATAGTTGTCATCCTCCTTCCTTTTATTTAGCCATGATTAACTGATGCCCAGCACTGGGCTGGATGCCAGGGACACGACAGACAGGATGGACACGGTACCTGCTCTCAGGGTGCTGGTACTGGTGAAAGTGGAGGATGTTAGGTACATAAGCAGTTACATTTACATAAAATCATGAAATGGTCAACACACCTCACCCCACCTTTGGCTTCCTGAGTAGCCCCTGACACAATCCACACCCAGGAACCATATTTGTGTCAGCTTCACTTGACAGTTGGAGAAACTGAGGCTCAGAGGGCTTTGGGAACCTAGATCCCTGCTGTCACCCTGGAGCAGAGAGCCAGAGGGTCTCAGACTCATCAGCTACAAGGTTGCACCTGCCCCTGGGTTCTCCACGGGCCAGCAATGACTCCTGGTCACCAGTTCCTCCCTCAGCTGACACTGCCATGGCAACTCCACGAGCAGGTCAGGTAAAGTCATGGGCTGGGCCAGGTGGGCTGTGGGGAGCTGGAGGGCTGGTGCCCTGCCTAGGGGTAACAGCCACTCCTCAGCCCCAGCTGGCACCTAGCCAGGTGGGAAGGTGGACGTGTGACCAGAGCTCCAATTTTTTCAAGAGAAGCTAAAAGTCAGAATTCAAGGATAAAATCTGCCAGTTCATAAATATAATTCAAAAGGATAAAAACACCATATAGAGGGAAAAAATCTGTTTCCAAGTTTCAGCCCAGGAGCCACCAGTTTGAGACCTCTTCTCTCCTGTAAAATGCCCACAGAGCAGCTTTTCATTCTTCATTGTTGTGCTTTGAGAAACACATCCCTGACAGCAAAGTAGACTGGGGCTCTCACCGCCCCTCCCCCACCACCCCCCCCCCC